TCCGAAATCATAAAAGATTCGGTGAAAACCACAACTGAAAGTGAAATACTGATGACAACTAAAGGATTGCCGGGAATCTCGAGTGAAAGACCACAAACCACTGCTTCCATACAAGAAATTAAAGAGATATCGACGACAATAGCTCAAGATATGACAACAAGTCCTTCTCAAATAAGTAGTGAATCCACAAAATTGTCTTCAACTGAAGGATTACCGGAGACGACAACTCAATCGCAACCAATTATTCCCGAAATCAAGAAAGACTCCATCGAAACAACAACTGTAAACAACAGATAAATCGGTGCCACAAGAGCCACGTTTGCCGACAACCACTATATCTCCTAAAATCTCAAGCGATGAGATCACCACTGAATCAGTCATCACTTCTACTCTTAAATCTATATTATCGACCCAACCATCGACTCAAACAAAGGGAATACCAGTTATTAGCGAAACGGCAACACCTGTTGATTCAGTTGAATTGACAACTTTGTCGAGCATTATATCGACAATTGCTTCGTTAATCACTGGTTCACCGAAAGAAGAAACTGATTCAACGGCCACCAGATCTACCAGAAAGATGGAGACAACACCAGATATACTATACTCGACCACAACTGAGCCCAAGATTTCAGATATTTCTATAGAAGACACGACGACTCGTAAATCAGTTTCAAGTGAAACACCAGAAGTGATAACAGTTTCACAAACGGTGACCACAAAGAAGAGTGAAGTCGTGACTGATATTCCTTTGATTACAACACAAACAAGCGATGAAACATTCGCTACAAAGGCCGAAGAAATTATTACAAGTACTCCTCAAACAAGCAGTGAATCCCCAAAATTGTCGTCAACTAAAGGATTACCGGAAACAACAACTCAATCGCAAACAATTATTCCTGAAATCAAGAAAGAGTCGACGAAAACTACAACTGAAAGTGAAATACTAGAGACAACAACTGGAATTCCCAAGATTTCTAGTGAAAGGCCACAAACCACTGCTTCCACACAAGAAATTAAAGAGACATCGACGACAATAGCTCAAGATATGACAACAAGTCCTTCTCAAATAAGTAGTGAATCCACAAAATTGTCTTCAACTGAAGGTTTACCGGAGACTACAACACAATCGCAGACAATTATTCCTGAAATCAAGAAAGAGTCGGACAAAACTACTGAAGTGCCCAAGATTTCTAGTGAAAGGCCACAAACAACTGCATCCATAGAGGAAATTAAAGATCCATCGACCACAAGAATTCAAGATATTGGTGATATCACCACAAGTATTCCTCTTACAAGTACTGATTAGATTGGGGATATGACCACAAGTACTCTTAAAACAAGCAGTGAATCATCAAAATTATCTTCAACTGAAGGTTTACCGGAAACTACAACACAATTGCAAACAATTATTTCTGACACCAAAAAAGTGTCCATCGAAACAACAACTGAAAGTGAAATACTTCAGACAACGACTGGAGTGCCAAGAATCTCGAGTGAAAGGCCACAAACCACTGAATCTATTAAAGAAAGTAAAGAAACATCAACGACAATAGCTCAAGATATTGGCGACATTACCACAAATATTCCTCAGACAAGCAGTGAATCTACAAAATTGTCTTCAACTGAAGGTTTACCGGAGACTACAACACAATCGCAGACAATTGTTCCTGAAATCAAGAAAGAGTCGCTGAAAACGACAACTGAAAGTGAATTATTGGACACAACTACTGGAGTGCCCAAGATTTCTAGTGAAAGGCCGCAAACAACTGCATCCGTAGGAGAAATGAAAGATCCATCGACCACAAGAATTCAAGATATTGGTGATATCACCACAAGTATTCCTCTTACAAGTCCTGATACAATAAGGATATCCTCGACTGAGAGTATAACAGAAACCACTACTGATAGGAAACAAGTGTCAGAAAAGACAGAGATTGAAGTGAAGACAACCACTGAAGTCCCATTAGTATCGAGTGAATCACCACAAACCACATCTGAGCCCAGAATAACATCAGAAATTTCTTCTAAAGAATTCACAACAACTCAGAAACCAATTTCTAGTGAAGAGCCGGAAATATTTACAACAGTTTCTCAAAAACAAACCCCAAAGACGAGTGAATTAGTGACCGATATTCCAGTCATTACGACAGAAAGAATTGATGAAACCATTGCAACAAAAGCTCAAGAATTTATGACTAGTACTCCACAAACAAGTAGTGAATCCACAAAATTAACTTCAATTAAAACTACATCTGAATTATTCCAGTCATTACGACAGAAAGAATTGATGAAACCATTGCAACAAAAGCTCAAGAATTTATGACTAGTACTCCACAAACAAGTAGTGAATCCACAAAATTAACTTCAATTAAAACTACATCTGAAGCCACGACTCAAACAGAATCGCAAACAATTGGTCCGGAAGTGAGAAAAACAACTTTGGAAAGCATCCAAACTTCATACACAACACAACCGACAAAATCTATTGACTCAACCGAAAGGGTCACGACTTCTAGAGATATGGAAGAGACTGTGAAAACAACAGATAAATCGGTGCCACAAGAGCCACGTTTGCCGACAACCANCCAGCCGATGATTTTGTCACTTTAATGTCGACGACGAGTAAGCCATTGATTACATTCATCCCAATGGATATCTCGAAGACAAGTCAAACAGTCATAGACTCCACGACCCAATCGATGGTCACAACAACACAGTCATCGATAAGTACAACAGAATCCATGAAACAAACGGCAAGTCCTCGAGAGTCAGCGGTTGTCACGAATAAAACCACTCAATCGACCACTCCTTCCACTGTATCGACAACTCCTACATATTCAGAGCTCGACGAAGGAGGTAATGAATGGTTTCATGAAATGAGTTCTCAAACTAATCCTCTAATCTTTACCCCCAAAGCGTGTGTATACGACAGCAAAGTATATCAGTCGGCCGAACAGATCCCACGCCCACATCCCTGTGACTTCTGCTTCTGTTTCCGCGGGGATATCATATGCCTTCAGCAGACGTGTCCGCCACCGATCGCCCGGTGCTATGAGACACAGATTGAGGGATTCTGTTGTCCTCGATATGAATGCCGTAAGATATTTGCCAATAAATCTTGAAAAACAGAAATTAATCCTATTTTTTGATTGAATGAACAGCGGTTCAGGTGACCACTCAGAATGTGACGGTCACTACACCCGCAACACTGCCCACACAGCAAGTAGAGAGAAAAGGTATGTACACCTCATTCACATAGATTTGGATGCAATTGTTGACTAAATGTAAACTCTGATCTCAAAGGATGTCAAATAAACGGACTCTTCTATGCGGTGGGAGAAGTGATCCGACCGGCGAGTGGGCCCTGTCTTGAGTGTAAGTGCGACCACAGCGGAGTCATGCAATGCAACCCTCAAGTATGTCACCCATATA